ATTCTGTAAGAATTTCACGAGAAAAGCAGCGGAGCAGGTTGAATTGTTTTTTTTCGTATGCAAAACAATCTTTTTACTAATTGTTACTCAAGTATTGCCATCACTTAATGTGTTTCATACCCCAACCTGCAACCTTAACCATTGCAAAAGGAAGTCGCCTGAAGCCAAATTTGAAATGAACCTGTTTTATTATCGTGTAACATCGTAATTCCAACTTAAACCATATTCAAAAATGTTTCATCTGTGTACCAAACATTATTGACATTCATGGTCTTGTTTAAAGTAATCGTGTAGAAATCATATATTTTTTGTAAAGAAATTCATAGAGAAATAAAAGCGATCATTGATTAAGAGTCGCCTCCTGATAGCCAATTGCATGTTACTACCACTGTGAAGGAGATACTAGAATCATTAGCAACGGAAGACGCAGTTTGTATTCAAGGGCCATAACTAAGCCAAAATCATTCAACCGAAAACCCGTGTAATATGCACATAAGCTACCAGTCAATCCTGTAAAGTTTCGCTGAAATTGCATTAGCTATATATAACAGGAGTGGTCTGGACAAATTTTAAAAATCAAAATCAATAAAGGACCATGACTGAAGTCATTGAACCAAATAGACTGATATAATGCACAACAAGACTAAATATTGATAATTCCTGTAAAGTTTGAATGAAATTACATCAGTAGTTTCTGAATAGTAGACAAGCTTCTGTGTAGCTGGCAACACAAAAAACACATTTTTTATTCAAAGCCAATAACTCGGCAAATTATCATTCAAGCGTTAAAGCTGTAAAATATGCGCAAGTAGTCTACATAATCTTCTGTGTAGGTGTCAACACAAAATTATGTTTTTGTTGTTGGCTGCGTGGGTCTGATCTTATGACAAAACTTTGAGCAATTGACACAAGTCCAATACCTAAAAGGTCATTTTAGGATTTCAACTCACATTATAATTTGATTTTCTTACTGTTTATATTTAAGGAGAGACCGCAGATATTGCTGTACATGAAATTTGACCTTGAAGAAACTTAAGATAAATCAATAGAGCTGATGGTGGAAATTTGTCAGACGATGCCTTCTTTTGTTTATTAGATGATACATTTGGTGTCAATGCAATGACACTAATTAAGGAAACTTATTATGGCGAGATCATGAGTTTGAAGAGAAATTTTCAAATTAAAAAGCACATTTTTGAGTCCGTACCGAATCAATTTGAAAGTTTTAACATAAAACTTCCAGACGATGGCTTGAAAGAGGCTGTCAAATAACTTGAATGCAGTTGCTCATTAGAGGAGAACATAAACAATGCCAAGATAGAGATTAAAGGAAAAATAATATTTTTGAATCACAAAAAGTTATGCTGGGCAGCTGTATAATGATGATTTCTTTGAAAAATCAATAAATGCTGTTGTGAAAATTTTATCTGTCTTGGAAAAATATGTCGAAGTGGGAGAAATAGATATAGTCATGTTCGTAGGAGGCTTGTCTTCTTCGTCATACATCCAACACAAAATAAAGGAAAGGTTACGGGTTTGAAAATATATTCCAAAGGGACCCCTCACTGGCTTTTTTTTAAAAAGGGCAGTCCACATTTCCAAATAAAAGGGAATAAATGAGAAAATTTTGCTAGACAAAGTTTTTTATTTTCAGTTGCAAAGACTTAAATGAAAGGGAAACATCCTAAAATTTTCGCTTTTTTCAAAAGGAAATGTTTGTGTGCTCTCACATATTGATAAACTCGTAGAAAAGGAAGGAAAGAATTTGGAGGTATCACATTTAGTTTTCTCCCAAATAATATACAAAAAATGCAACAGTCGTGACTAGTGCTTATCGTTCGGTGGAAGCTAAACTAAAATGTGTCGATGTAGAATATGGGAGTAAACTTGTTGCAACTATACAAATGCAGCCTCCACCTGATGCGACCTCTTCGTGTTTATTGATAATTATAATCATGTACAGGTATACAGAGGATAGGATTGTTTAATACTGAATGCATGACAGTACATAAATATTATGAGCTGACTACATGTATGTGTATATTGATTTATGTACATGTATGTTAACAACTCAGGGTCTGGTCTTTATAATATCTCTTATTTGTCTTTACTCTTTACAATCTACAAACTCTAAAAAAACTCTTTGCACTGAAACAATAAACATAGAGCTGTTGTTTTACATGTTTACAGCAAATATGTTCGTATATGTGGCAGATATGATTTTATTTCATCGAGGGACCTTCAAACTCTATAGCATACATTTTTCCAAGGTCGCAAGATAAAATGAGTCCGATTTCCGATAAAACGAACTAAATTGCTATATAACAATGCAACATAGCATTTGTCCGATTTATCTGAATATAGAAATTTCTTTTTCAGTGCCTCAAAATGTGAAATATATACCGAATGTCGTCATTCACCCAAAACGACATATAAAACATTGAACATAAAATGCCGATGATTATGCTAATATATATAAACAATAATGAAAACTGACAAAGAAATTAAGAGATAAATTGACAAAAAATAACAGTACATCATGTGGTATTTTCTAGCATGAATAAATGCTGCTATTACATTTGTCCCCAATTAATTAAATGATATGCGTCCACCATGTTTTAAAATGAAATTGTTTCATCATTTGATTTTAAATTAATGAATATATGCTTGACTTTAATCCAAGAGTACACATGATTTAGAAAAAATATCAGAATAACAACATTTGAAATCAAGTAACAATTTGTAAGTGTGAATTGAAAGATTGAAAACAAATCATGGTTAATTTGTATTTATCCCAGTGTGAATATTTACAACTAAAATGAAGAAAACAGGTATCGCCTTCTTTTTTATCAAGTAATGACATTGGAATAACTGTCCTTTTTAATGTAAATAAGCGAACGTTTGACGAGAAAATACAAATGTTCGTCCTTCTGACTTAAAAGAGATGTAATGAAAATTTGGCTATATAACTCAAGAAATATATAATGCAAAGACCACACGATTTAGAAAACCCGTACTTATTTTACAAAAAAACAGCGTTTTAATTTAAAAGATTTACATTCGATTATGCATTGATAGGGAAAAAACTAGGTTACTTCATGACAAACTTTATTGACTACGGATGCACACTATACAAAGCAAGGCATCGTATCATAATATCTGATTCATATTCATCATTTAAATAACAATTAATATTTATATGGAAAATAAAGGAAGACATTCATATAAAGTATTACATAACACAATAAATTAATGCACCACTCTTTTATAACAAAATACAGGTGAAAAACATTTGTATATTGCGCAGAGTTAAGGGATCATTTTTACGCCCGTTTCAAAACTGGTCGTATTATAGGAACGCTCATGGCGGGCGGACGGGCAGGCGCTCGACGTCCAATTTTGCTCCAACACACATAGAGGGATTTTAATTAAACTACATAGAAATGTTCACCACCATAAAGCCGTGTCGTGGGCTTGAACCAGGTTTCTAGATTAAAGGTCAAGGTCACATAGAGGTCAAAATTCGGTTAGAAATATGAAGATTTGGAACGTTTTGTCATTTATTTAATGATTGTAACACAAATGTTCATCATCGCTACAACTGCTGTAACACTTGTTATTTAGGTCAATTTTCAATGTCAGGGTCACAAAAGATGAAAAATATAAAGATTTTATTAACATATCTGCTACCTGCATGGAGGGATTCTAATGAAACTTCATAGAAATGTCCACCACTATGTCACGTGCTTGAACAAAGTCTCCAGATTTAAGCTTAATGTCCAACTTAGAGGTTTTAATAATGCCTGTTCGGAGCAAGACTTCTACATTCATCAGGGGATTTTAATGTAACTTGGCACAAATATTCACCATTGTGAGACTAAGTAATGGGCCCGGTCCCTGCTACCAAAGTCAGGGTCCCAATGAGAGGTCAAAGTCAAAGATCCTGTAACACATTTTTTATGGTTTTATATAAAAATTATGATGCTCAAATTAAGATTTATCAATATTGTAAGTTCCAAAAAGCATTATTTATAAACATATAAACGAATTTAATATTTCATGTAAATAAAGGGAGGTAATTAGTAATTTGTTTTCCATAAATTCTAAGTCAAATTTTTCAATAAGAAATGAATGCATATAATTTAATGATTGCATTTAATATGTACAAATATTTGCAGTACATATTAAAGTTATTCTTCAATGTTTGAAAATTGTTGTTTTTGCATAATAATATACAAATATAATTTCACGTAAGTGTGGTATACAGCCACAATTACAAAACATACAGGATCTTAAATAAAAACAGAAGATGTGTATCAGGACCATTCAGTCATCATTTCATGATTTATTGATGGATTGTAACACAGATGATACTTAGCATGACATCAAGTGTAACACATGTAACTAAGATTAATATTTACAAGGTCATGGTCACAAAATGATCCAGATATTGCCAAGAGCATATCTCGTGTATGGATATTTATAACGTCCACATCTCTGTCAAAAGCTTTTGTGACGGCGTATTTTGCGACAATGCTGCCCTTGTTTTATATTACATTAACGCTAAGATTTATTAAACACGATAAACAATTATACATTTAAAATATCAAGAACATTTATACAATAATAAACTTAAATGCAAAATTAAATTTACACGTTGCTGTAAAGCATACATGCATAAGAAAAATGACCAGGGTAAAATCTCGGAAAGTTATCAGTCACCTATCTTTCATTCTACTTAATCTTTATCATTTTGTTATCTCGTATTATCACATATCAAAACTAAAGTAGTTAAACCGAAGTCAATCCAGTAACGAAAGACCAGCCTGTGACATAACATGTCTAGTGTATTTGAAAATGATTTCCACGGTTTGTGATGAATTCTAGCCGAAAGTAAAGTAAGTTATATCTGATATATTAACAATTATATGCTTTTGTCATGATTTATTGATTTTTACATTTATTTGATTTACTTCAGACATTTGTCAATTTTATTTCCTATTTAAAATTTTCTTCAAAAAGTTGTTCATTTTAATTCCATTTTTACATTGAACACAATTTTGCGTGTACATTTACATCATTAATCGTTTAATTTGTTACGTCTTTTGTTTCTATTTTAAGGCTGCAGAACTTTGTATACTACAACACATTAAATATTCCTATTTAAGATCCCTGTTTGAATACATCAACAGGTGGTTTAAATTATAAAATAAACTCCAATGCCAGCAACGTTTTTGAATTTTAAACTATATTTACGTCAGGGCTAAGAGGCGATATATGCAGTTTGTATTTACCACTGCCTTCCATGAACAGACTCAATGTTAACGAGTCTGCAACAGTTTAATGTACCCAGTACTTACAAGGGTGCGTCCGTCTGTCCCGCTGTTCTACTATCATGTTGGCTACCCAACCTTATTCTGACAAACATTTGAAATTGTGGGCATTGGTACCTTATCTTTCTTTTGTTGCATTGTGCTACCGTTTAGGGTTCCGTTTTGACAACATCACTTTGATGGGCATCATCAAACGGTTTACTGTTGCTGTCCTATGTTCTTTTATAGAAAGACGTGTCTTGAGGTTGTATTTTTGTAAACATAGTAAGTTTTCTTTAAGTAAATAATCTTAAATAAAAAGTAAGCACCAGGGCGTAATATCAATGTGTACATTTGTACACTTCCAGTTATATTTGACCATCTGTTTTTCAATTCAATTAAGGTATAGATTTTAGTAAAGATATATTTGTATAGATGCCAAGCACGTTAATTTGTTGAAGTAAAAGCCGTCGGAAAACGTATAAAAAATAACTGCTACTGCTGCTGCTACTACTACTACTACTACTTCTACATCTTATCGTAAACCTACTTGCAGTGACAAATCTATTGTGTCTGAACTAAAATCGAAAAAAACAACAACAGCATATAGCTTGCGAGGTTCGAAACCATAACAAAAGATTCGATTTCGTCAAATGCAAAGCGACTTTATCAACTTTGCAATTTACGTTGAATGCTACTCTACTATTATCATATTCCTTTCTGAAAAAAAAGCATTTCACTGCTTCTGTTTACAATGAAATAAGACGTCACTGTTATACTACCTTAGCAATACAGCTTCACATATATTTAACACGTTACTATATTACAGCTAAAATTAAATGATAACAATGCTACGTTGCATAAAATTCGTTAAATACTTGCAGCATTTATTTTCAATTTGCCCGTGCTATATAATCTTAACAGTTTCCACCTACCGCTATCAGATAAATTCATTAGATATTAAAATGTTTAACAAAGATAAAAAGTTAATATGCTTAGACCACATGTATAAAGGAGCAGACCTTGACCTCAAATGATTTATCTTTTCTTTGTTATTAATTTTCTCTACAGATTAATCCGTCAGTTGCTCACTAGAAAATCTGTCTCACCGAATGTATAAGTGATGTTTTCCGTCAACCATAGCTATTTCCATCTTTGATGAGAATATATATTGATATCTCGCAAATTTGCTTTTTCATTCAACTACCACCTAGCTTTGTATGCAAGACTTCATTGATATTCTAAGAAAAATATGCTTTTTTGAGATAATTTTGTGTTAATTATAAAATATTATTTTCCTAGTTTTGCTTTTCTATCGCACAGCAAACTTTTACTAATTAGAAAGTACAAATAATGTGTCTACTATGGTAAAATTTATTCAATAACAAATCATTGTATATACTGCAAAACAAGTCACTCAAGATCATATTGAAGTGCGGAAATTTATTGGAAAATCTACTTTAGAAATTAGGAGAAGAAAGAAATCAAGTAACAATTTGTGTTCTACCAAGGATCGAGGCTCAATTATAAGTTTGAATTTAAAGTTTGAAAATAATTCATAGACTTATTTCAAAAGGTTGATTTGTATTTGTTTCAGTGTTCCTTTGACTTATCACTATTGAGTAAAAGTATCAATTGATTTTTACAGTTAATATAAAACTTGAAGATGGCCAAAGCATCACATGAATCAAAACCTTTAGCAGTATGCGCTATTGACTTTGGAACATCATTAACTGGAATCGCCTACTCTTTTGCAAGTGATTACAAAAGCATTTCTGTTCTTACTAAATGTACAAACATAACATATGGTGAGAAAATACCAACTGTCGTACTTTTGAATAAAGAAAAATCGTTTTGGAAATTTGGCTATGAAGCTGAAGAAGAATACAGGCAAATTTGTGACGAGGGGAAGGCGGGAGATTATTATTACTTTGATTGCTTCAAAATGAAACTATACGAGGAAAAGGTATTCTATGGTTTGATATTTGCTTTATATACACAGTTGTTGCGATTATTATCCGTTCCATACAGTAGTAAAATAGTCCTTTTATACTACTTACATTGCTGATTACCTATCACCGTAATTAAGTTTATAAAACTCGATTATGTAAACGTTTGTCGTTTACTGTTGTTGACTTTTATGTATTGTTTTTAACATTTAATTACATTTAATTAAGTATATGATTACTGTTTTGATAGAAGTTAACGGCTGATGTAATGATAAGTGATGTAAAGGGGAGACAATTTCCCGCACTGGATATTTTTGCTATGGCTATCGAGTACCTCGTCAATCATGTAGAGGACATGGCTAAAATACAGGCTTCTGGATTTGATCGTGAAGACATCTTATGGGTTTTGACTGTGCCAGCAATTTGGTCAGATTCTGCAAGGAATTTCATGAGAAAAGCAGCGGAGAAGGTTGAATAGTTATATATAGTTATATACAGTTATATATAGTTATAAATATATATTTAACAACTTTTTTATTATTATTCCAACTCGCTCGGTTATCTATGTTATTTCTTAATCCTTTCCAGGCTCAGTGACCCCCATTTATGTTACATGTATTTGTTTACCACTCGAAAGATTTATTTCGATGTGCTGTAACAATTTCTAAACAGTTACTTATTGACAATATGGCTATACATTTTTCCATATTTTTTTGATATTTTTTTTGCCTTGTGAATAATCACGGAAATATAGCAAGTAATTCGTATGAAAGACCACTTTGCTAAAGTTTTGATTCTATTTTGAGATAAATTATTATTTTACATTCAGTGTTGTCATAGTATGATATGCAACTAGCATGCAATTTATCCATTAAAAACAACAACAAAGGTTTGCTTTTATCCAGACGAAAGATTGTGAATCATTTTTTTAAATCCTAAAAATAGAAAACATTCGTTTAAAACGCATATCACACTCAAAAGGCTGATCAAGTTTTCATGACATTGAATGTATAAGCACAATCATTGACATTAATTATTAACATATATTTGATCCTTTTCTATTAACATTTATCAGTGCAGCGTTAACAAGACGTACATTTGTTGGACTAGTTATGCTTCCTGGCCGCATTAGTTTAAACCCTGTTAGGGGGAAGCGTTGTTTCAGTGAACAAGAAACTGTACTTATTGCTAAGTACTGGTTGGTTCTATGAACGGATTCGAGAGAGTATGTAAGGTTTTATACTTTTATAGGTGAATACAAAAATCGAAATGATTTCTACTTAAACAAAATAGTTACGCTACCAGAAGTTTGAATAACACGCATGTACATGTATGTATCAAAGTAATAAAGTAATGAATTCAAAATTGTACTTAAGATTTTAATTATGTATTTAAGGCTGGGATACCGTCAAAGCATCTGATATTATGCTTAGAACCAGAAGCCGCATCTCTATGGTGTCATAATCTAAATTCGAACAAAGTAGCTTCAAACAATGGCAATACTGAATTCAGGCCTTTTCCTGAAGGCCAAAAGTATATGGTGGTTGATTTAGGAGGTAATGATTCATTTACAAATTATTCCTACGTGTCAGTACATTTAGAATGGAGCGTATCTTTTCAAATAATCTCAATAAACCATTGACAACATGTTAAATACTTTAATTCTAAATCTGCTAAAATGTGACGAGCTAACGCAATATGAAAGGGAATGTTATGTTGTTGGGTATGCTATAAATGTCCTTTTTACTAATTTTCATTAGGAGGAACCGCAGATATATCTGTACATGAAATCTTACCTGGAAGAAACTTGAGAGAGATCAAAAGGGCGGATGGCGGCGCGTTTGGTGGAAATTTGATAGACGATGCCTTTCTACGTTTCATAGCTGATATATTTGGTATCGATGTATTGACACTCATTAAGAAAACTAATTATGGCGAGATCATGGGTTTGAAGAGAAATTTTCTAATTAAAAAGCACATGTTTAAGCCCGTGTCCGAGGGTAAACCTGAGAAATATAATATAGAGCTTCCAGTCACTGAGCTGAAAAAAGCAATCAAAGAACTTGAATTCAGTTGCTCATTAGAGGAGAAAATGAACCAGGCCGAGAAAAACTATAATGGAAAAATAAAATTTTTGAATAGAAGAAAGTTGATCATCGACGGAAGTGTTATGGAAGGATTCTTTGAAAAAGCTACTAAAGAGGTTGTAAAAATCTTGTCTGACATAAGAAAAGATGACGAAGTTGGAGATATAAATATAGCCATGCTAGTAGGAGGCTTGTCTTCTTCGCCTTACATTCAAAAGAAAATAAAGGACAATATACCTGGTTTGAGAATTTTTGTTCCAAATGAACCCTCGCTGGCTGTTCTTAAAGGAGCTGTGCTCATGGGCCACAAACCTAAAACAATCACTGAGAAAATAGCTAGATACAGTTATGGTTTATCAATTCTCAGTACATTTCATGAAGGCGAACATCCAGAAAAATTTCGCCAATTTCAAAAAGGAAGGTATATGTGCTCTCACATTTTTAAAAAACTTGTAGAAAAAGGAGCAATTTACAAGCCCGGAGATGAATTTGGAAAAACCATATTATGTCAGATCCCTAAAAGTGAACATGAAAAAACTGGAAGAGTTGTGACAAGTATTTATCGTTCGGAAGAAGTAAATCCAAAATATGCCGATGAAGAATATGGGTGTGAGATTGGTGCAACAATTGTGATGCCAGCACCACCAGGTGGATGGCCTGGCTTTACTAAATTTGTTCCTAAAATGGTCCTAGGACTTTCAGAAATGACAGTGAATGTTTATGGTTCAAACAACGAGACGTATGAAGCAAAACTTGAGTTTCTTTGATATTGCAACATTAACAATAACGATGTCAAGGTGAAAGAAATGATATACTTGTATTTTTTACCTTTGTCTCGCGATGAGACCAGGAATGTTCTGTTGAAACTCATACTTATATCTTTATCTATGAATGTTAAGAATAAAAATCGTGTTCATGTATTCTGAGAATGGAATTGTTTGATACTAAATATATGCAAAAATATAAATGTATGGTTTTTGTATTATCTTTAATTTGTTCCAACTCTATATACACTCTACAAACAATTTAAAACTCTTGGCATTGAATAATAATGTAACAAAATGATGTGCCTATATCCACATTGTTTTACCCACATAGAATATTACAAATGTATATTAATAGAATAAATGACTTTTTAATAGTGCACTTTTTTCAACGTTGGATTTCATAGGATAGTCTTGACATATATACAATTTATATAAATTGCAACTTAAAATTGATGAATAATCATAAATTTTGACCAAACATACATCAGTAGTTTACATCTTTACGGAAAATTTGTTCGTTTTTGTGGAAGATACAATTTTATTTCGTCGATGTCACGAGAAAAAAGTCACGTGAAATATGAAGCGAATCATTTAAAGAAAACGAATATAAACACTGAATTGCAATATTTCAATCATATTTCTTCAATTTACCCTTTTTTATATACGAGTATAAATGCTAACCGTTTTTGTCCGATTTACCTAGAAATATTTTATAATTGCTTTTAATGTAAAACTGTGCGTGACGCTTATAATTTTCGTGATACAAATACTTGCATATTTTGTTCAAACATATTAATTCAACTTAACGTTTGCATATTTATAACTCATGGAAATTATTTTCCATAATTTTCAATATAAATCTTTATACTCTACATTTAAATAAAGCCATTTGTGATACTTGCTACTGAACTGGGAATACTTTCTGATATGCCGTAATGTTTTCTTAACTAACATCTATCAGATCTGAGCATTAAACTGGAAGCATATACCTGATTTAAACAGTAAAGGCATCCTATAATGTTAGGCGAAACGAGTGAAAACAATGCAGATGTAAAAAGTGCTGAAGATATTAGACTTACTGACGATATTAAAGAAGATGGTGAATGTTCTGAAGCGGTGGTTGAAGAGTGCGCTAACAAATACTTGATTTATGGGGTAAACGACACCCCACCTATCCATGTCACACTTGTTTGTGCTTTACAGGTAAATAGTGTATTTGTATTACACCTGTCGTATATGTTCGCTTTTGGCTCGTTCAAAATACAAAAATGTGAAAACACACAAAGAGACGACAAAGTAAAATTTTGTCGTCTCTTCGCACACTTCCGCATTGTTACATTGTCGCATTGTTACATTTTCGCATTGTTGCATTTTCGCATTGTTGCATTTGCTACGTCAAATTGTCAAAAAAACATGAAAATGAGAAAATGTCACAATGCGAAAATGCAACAATACGAAAAAGCGAAAATGCAATAATGCGAAAATGTAAAAATTCGAAAAAAGCGAGAACGCAACAATGCGAAAATGTAACAATGCGAAAATGCAATATCTTTAAAGTACACATTTGTTTTCGCATTTTGGTATTTTGAATGCGAAAAAGCATAAGTACAACAGATGGAATGCAAATATACGACAGATTTTATGTGTCGTATTTTCGCCCTCCTGTCGTATTTTCGCTTTTATTGCCTCGATAATCAGAAAAAGCGAAAACACGAAGAGGCGACAAAGTCCTAATTCCAACTTTTTTTTGAATTTTCGAGGCACAGAAGCGAAAATACAACATGGCGTTTATCAGCCACAATAATTACGAGCGCCTGACGTTACTAGATATTGCTAAATTTAATGAGGATTTTCAAATAGTTTAAGCGATCCAAGTGAGTTTTCCGACCAGTTAAACATTTATAGATTTAAAAATAAAAAAATGAACAAAGAGACAGTCCCTGCAGTTAAATGTGGAGCGAAAAGGAAGGAAGGGGATCGACTCAAGTATAGCCCGGTTTTAAATGGAATTAATTAATATATAATGAAAATTTATTTCCCCTCCACTAGTTTTTCCTAGTTGCACAAGTCTTTATTTTTCTGCTGAACGCCAATAGTGATAGAATTACTGTATTTCAGCAAGGACTACTTTCTCTGTCCGGTCAGCTGATTACATCTTTACTCGTGGCGGAAGCAGTTTGCGCGTCCAACAATGAAATTTTCAAAGCGAGGCTACTTAGTTCAACTTTACTTATGAGCGGCATAACAACTGTTGCCATGATCCTGTTTGGTATAAGGTCAAGTATTCAAGCCGGTGTACATACTAAACTTTCATAACTTTCATAACTTTATATGTACAACAAATTCTTGTGAAACACGTGTAACATTTATATTAATTTTGTTACAAATTATCAACTAGTTTTTTAAAAGTTAAAATTTCAAATATAAAGTAAGTTGTTTCTTTGAGAAAATTTTCATTAGGATTTGTCATATTCTAACAAAGAAAAATAAATCAATATCAGACATTTTGAATTTAAATGCAAGTCATTTGAAATGACATCGTAACTTCAATTAGCAAATAATTGAATGTTACAATTTTAGATTACCTTTGTTCCAAGGAGCAACCTCGGAGTATGTTGTCCCTCTGCTTCTTGTTGCCAGCGTAGATGAGACATTTTGTCCTACTCTTGCCACACGGCCAGGTAGTCTCTTGTTTTTTGTGTGTTTTTTTTACACTTGTACTTGTTACATGTTTGTACAATATGGGAAGTAAAATGTTAATAACAAAACAAAAAATGAATAAGCTTTTTTATTACACATACAACACAAATTATATCAATTTAGCGTCACTCAAACAATACATTACCTACATATTAAAAATTTTTTTATCACAATGTTTGATTGTTTTGTTGTATCAATATTCTGGTATAGAAATAGACATGAAATACTTACGCTGACATTAGATATGATGGTTATGTTTATGAACGGTCAAAGACTCAAAGGTCGACGAGAAGTTTAAAAAAAAGCAAAACTCTCCATGTATGGAGGAATTAGATACATTTGTACAATGTTTATTTAAATTTTTGTTTGTATCTTTATAGAACATACGCATGATATTTTTTAAGTGACAAAAACATGACGTTTCTGATTCATCAAATGTGTGTAAAACTATATTGAACAAAACATTTGGAATTCATATTTTTAATTAGGACATTCGGATTCAGGCAACATGACAAGAACAAATGGCGTAGAGGATATCCCAGATGATATTATCATTAGTAATATTCAAGCCGTAAGTCTAACACATCTTTAGCTCGTGTTTATGTAACATATTTAGTTTTATGTGACACACATATATTTTAGACATAAAATATCTGGAATAAATGGTAGATCAACAAAGAAATAAAAAAGATGAAAATTGCAGACTGGGTTTTAGTGGGACTGTTCAAAATAGATAATGTGAGATTATAAAATATGCCTCTCCGCATTAAGCATCACCTAATCTTCAATAAAGTTTCGTATTGGAATTAAAACATTTTGCGCAATACCATCATTGCAAGCGTAGTGGGGGAAAATCATTCATTTGAGTTTTGAGATTGAAAATAATAATAATAATTCAAAATGACATATATGTTGAACAACGAGTTTGTTTACTTTAAATTTTTATTTCATTATCGATAAATTTAATTTCAACATTTGGGAAAAAAAATGTCTTTTTGGTAGTTTCGATTTTCAGAAAGTGACTGAAAATTGAACAAGTCTGAATTCCATGAAACCATTTTTTAGTTAAAATCAATATCAACAATTATTATGTTTATATTATGCTAATATAATGCTAATATCTATCTAAAGTACGGTTTAATTAAAGTTTTACAACATTGACTAATAAGAACGCCGTAAAGTAATTGAAAAACATATCAAATATTAATTAAAATATATTTATAACGTCAATACTAATTGAAACGGTCACACTAATATACTGAGTCTGTATTATCTATGTTAAAATTGAATTATTTAAAGAGGACAAGTTTAAATGTTGGTAACATATGGTTTTTGATAAATTCTAGGATTATTTGCGATTTTGTTTCTTTACACAGCGCTTTTGATTTTGACTCCCTCTGATAAAAAAGAACTATGTTATCTCAGTACTTTTTCATGCTATATAAATACTTTATATATTACGTACTCGTTAATATCTCGTGAAAACGGAATCCCAAAAGAAAGCCAAAAATGACAAAATTGAAATTGTTGCAAGCTCGATTTGATTTAGCCTGTTTATTGACGGTACTAGAAAGTTCAAGTTACCGCCAACGCCCTCTAGGTCCTGATTAAGCAGAATTCAACATTTAACATGAACTGGTAAAAAGTTTGAATTTGCCCGCGGATGTGTTCATATGGCGGTAATATGACACGTTAGTGCCATTCCATGAAAACCTCTCTCTTAGCCTAAATATGTTCCTTTTAAACAAGACAGTATAAATGAAATGAATCCCAGCCAAGCGAAATTGTAACAGTTATTATGGTTACAAAAAGTGAAATAAGTATAACACAGAATACATATAAAAGATAAACCAAATGGCCATAACAAAAGTACTCAGAGTCTTTAAAGAAGACACAGCAGCAAGAATATCACCTAAAATGGCCTGACGAAGCAAGACTATCACAGAAGATGAAAATAAACACAATTAAGAGGTCTTGCTGGTGGCTCGTTTAGAACCATGTTATTGTTGTGTGCGCTGGTCCTTGGTGCTGGGTCGTGTGGAGGTTGCATTCTTTGAACGCCACCTTTCCCTTTCGATCTTGTTTATCATATTTTATGGTATCTATTTGAACATTGTGGTTACAATATTTTTTATTGAAATCTATAAAATCACGATATGCTGTCTGCTGTATAAATTAGTCTTCTCACGTCTTACCTGGCAGGCTTCATACCTTCCGATCACCTTTCAAAGTTTATTTTTACTTAGTTCATCCCATTGTTTTCTCGTTAAAGGCACAATCTTTCTCTTTTACTTGGGGGGACCATATGCCGCTCATCATGGAAAGGCACGAACATGTCGCATTGAAGATGCGTATGAACACAGTTTTGGAAGTTTCTAAATTCAGAATTTAACCAGTTTCATGTTTAAATGTTGCATTCTGCTTAAGTCGGTGTCGGGGCGTGGATAATATCTTGCACTTTCCAATACCGTTCATATACAGACAGAATCAAACCAAGCCTGCAACAGTTTCAATTTCGTCGCTCTGAACGTTCTTTAGGGATTATGTTTTTCTCCATTTCTTGTAGAATTCTTGTAAATCAGAAATTGATATGGCTGTATAATTTCTTGCAGAATTCTTGTAAATAAGCAATTTATATGGTTGTATCAATTCGCGATTAAAATAAAAATGAAAATCAAGAAAATAAATATAAAGTTAAGCAAACATTTGGCAATCTGTAAACATGAGATATATTAATTTTTGAAAGTGTTTACTGTTTTGTTTTCTTTTAAATTCTCTTCTAACATTTCTAAAATGAGCCGTTGCTAATTTAGCTTCAAGGAAGCCTCCTGGTTGCAGGAGTCGTACATACCATGTTGGGTTTTACGGGGCTTGTAGGAGTTTTATTGAAGTTTGTAGGACCACTGACAATCGTTCCAACTCTGGTACTAATGTTCGTGTTCTTCGTGAAGCCTGTCGTCAAATTTGCGGAGGTCAGCTGGGGTATTTCACTTTCGTAAGTACGAAATTATTAAGTTATATTCTTGAATGAATACTATGTTATTATCAAGAAAAATAGGCTGTACGAAAATAATGTGTTTGTCATGAAGTGGCATAATGTTTTGTCATGAAGTGGCATAATATAACGTCTATTTTGAATCATGAAAATGTCTGCAATCATTATTTGTCAAACTTTTAGGCAAGATAAAACGAAAATCTGGTTAGTATGTTTTTTCATAATTTTATGGTCCCTTCTTGTTGTTTTCTCGTCTACGATAGGTGTCTTCCCTTTGCCCCTAGTTTTGTTTTATTATTCATATACTGTCCCTTCCCCGACCCTCAAGTCCCCTTTCCGTACAACCCTTCTCATTTGTACGTCTATTGATTAATCGTTTTCTTTAATTTCCTTGTCGGTATCTATTATTTCCTATTATGTAATATCATATTATTAAAGTAATCGCCCCATCCCTGTCTTCTGCCCAGTCCTGTTTTGTTTGGTGACCTGCTGGACTTCTTACCGATGGTCCTCAGTAACTAGATCGTGTGGGAGTTGTGGTCATTGAATACCGCTCTTCTTTGATGATCTTGCTTTTCATATTTTCAAATATTAATTACGGAAGGTCCCAATTAGACTCACATTGTTTTAGATTATCATAAGATAGAACATTATAATTTAATGCATTTTTCCAATGTCATCATTTACAGATATGCATGTGTTAATGAAGTCAGAAAATTCAATGTATCTATGTATTGCACTTTTTTGTCTTATTTTCAGTACTATATTTCTTGCTGTAATTTTATTTCTGTACCTTGGTAACCATAACATGCCGGTACCAGTATGGACCCCGTCTGGAGGATTCCACGTTATACGCTATCCACTGCATCAAGTATTTGCCGTGAGTATTATGCAACTTTGTTGGAAATAGGAACAAAAACAACCCATTTCTTTTAACAGATATACTATAATACATCAATGTTAAGATAATGAAAAATATAACACGTCTGCAAATCATGTTCAAGTCTATTTCCCTACTGTACTGATTGAAAATATAGCTCGGAAATACGCAATGTCTCATTTAGAATGTTTTGTATTATATTCTTAAGATTCTTTATATCTACTCGAATAACCGAATTAATCAAAATTTTACAACTGCACGATATACATAAGAAATTTAAACATATAAATTAAACTGAATGTTGAGATGATCAAAAAAGAGAAAATAATTTAGTCTACGTCGTTATTTCACGCAAAAAGTCACAAGTGTAGAATCTACTTCGGGGAAATCGAGCCATTAGATATTTCGTAATCTCTCTGACAGATTAAATAAGTAGATTGAATATATTACATATTTTGATAATGGATAAATGCAGTTTTTTGCTGATTAACTTTAAACTATATTTATAGATACTGATTTCGATCATAGTGAACTGGGTGATCTGTTTGATTCTCACCAAGTTTGACGTAATCGAAAATGATCCTAATGGTAAAAGTTTTAATGCTCGTACGGACGCACGAAGTGACATCATTTCAGATAATCCTTGGTTTGCATTTCCCTACCCAGGTGCGTGGAATCCTTCTGCTTCTATGTTTTAATAATAATGAAAACAATGATAATAATAAAATTTTTATTTAGAGAAGGAAACATACAAAGTTTACACTGTTAGAGAAGATGTACTTATTTTCAGTTCGGTTTAGCTCTCAATTACAAAGAAAAAAAAACTAGTAGATCTACGAGGGCTGTTCGAAAAGGATTGCTTATTGTCCTCTATCTCGTGATCCACTTGGCACATGATAAAAACCAATACATACCTTTATAGGGTAATACAATACCTACACAACGGTGTATAAATGTACATGTTAGACTAAGTGTAAGACATACAATTTGCCATTTAAATACGTGCAGTCATTGACCACTGTAATAAGAAGCGTCGACAAATAGATGAAATACGGGCTTACATCAAAGCTCGCTCAAAACTGGGTTGCTCTTTGAAACAGTTGATGACTGAAATCTCTACTGCTTATGGGCCTTCTTGTGTGTCTTATGACACAGTAATGCGATGGAAACAGAGAATTGGGTCTGGTGTAGAGTGCATCAAAAATGCACCAAAATCAGGTAGGCCAAAATCTGCATCTCGTAACGAAATCGTTTCCAAAATAAAGGATAACATTGAAGGAGATGCCAGATTTAAAGTTCTTGATATTGCACAAAGGAAAGCATATCACTATCAACGGTTCACTTTATTTTGAAGAAGCATTTGAAAGTCAGAAAGAGTTCTGCCATCTGTTGACCAATGAGCAAAAGAGGCAACGGGTTAAGGTGGCCAAAAAGCTGCTTCAAATGTTTCCAAAATATGACAAAAAAAAGCAGTTTGCCAATCTAGTCACGGTTGTTGAAACTTGGGTCCATTATTTTGAGCCAGTCGGAAAAGTTAGCAACAAAATCTGGGCCACTTAACATAACAAACGCCCAATAATTGCCAAACGGTCTTTGAGTGCAAAGAATGTTTTGTATGCAATTTTCTTCTCTGGTGAAAAAGTGCCGGTGAAAAAAAGCAAAAGTAGTACTACAAAGACGTAGTACTTAAGAAACTGAAAATGTATTATAAGAAACGACGCCCTGTCACTGGTTTTAAGCATATCCGTCTTTTACATGACAATGCCCCCGCTCATACCTCCGCAATAGTTTCGGCGTTTCTGAAAAAGAAAAAGTAACTGTTTTGCCTCAACCCTCGTATTCTCCAGACATTGCCCAATGTGATTTCTTTTTGTTTCCGAAATTGAAATCCTTCCTTGCTTGGCAGAAATGCAAGTCCCGACAGGCACTTGGATCTGCCATTCATAAGTACCATATTACTGTGCCCAAATCAGCGTACCGTGACGCCTTCAAGAAGTGGATGTATCGGCTGAAACTTTGCATTTCTAGCCACGGGGAGTACTTCGGGGGCATAAAATGAACACTTTTGAGCTAACTTGAAATTTGAAGTCTTCAAAGAGAAATAAGCAATACATTTCGAATATCCCTCGTATACAAAATTTAAAATGTTTTTTGTACAACAAAAAAATATATATATATTCTTGAATGTAATAAAGGCTTGATATTTTCATTCTTCATCCGACTGACACTCATTAATCATATTAATTATAGATAAACTCGCAATAATTTAAAAGATATATATAATAATATCAACATTTACAACAGTTACAATATAAAGTGGTCAATTTTCATCATGTATCCAACTGTAAACTTAGAAAATAAATTTTACAGCTGTTTTTGAAATATTGTACACACATATTTTTGTGCCTGAAACAGAAGTAAATGATGTTAATTATTTACATGTATTCTCGTTCCAGGGCAGTATGGATCCGTTGGCTTTAGCGGACCAGCATTCCTAGCGTGCATCATTGCAACATTCATTTCCGTTATTGATTCTATCGGGGACTACTACGCATGCGCAAGAGTATGTTGTGTACCAGCGCCACCACGTCACGCGGTAAATCGCGGCATATTGATAGAGGGCGTGTGTAGCTTTATTTCCGGAAGTGTTGGCTGTGGACATGCCACGTCGACGTATGGCGGCAACATTGGAGCCATCGGGGTGTCCAGGGTTGTACACATTTTTTCTGTAATTAAAATCAACAACATGAATTTGATTTAATAAATCAGCGGCAGTCACAGTGGCTAATACTAGTATAGTTGCCCGCATGCCTTTCTTGGTGAGCAAGAACCCGTAATTTTGCTTCAACTGCAAGTAATGGCTGTCCATATATATAATTGAAAACTATAAACGTGTATTCTTAAAATTGAGCTATTTCAACAACATTAATGTTACCTCTATTGCAATATTTCTGTTTCGTATATATTTTAGGTTGCTAGCCGAAGGGTATTTTTGTTTACTGGCCTATTATACATATTATTTGGCGTTTTCGGCAAGTTTTCTGCAGTATTCATTACAATACCGTATCCGGTACTTGGTGGGGCTATGATTGTAAATTTCGGAATATTTGTCGGTGTTGTTTTGTCCAATTTAGAGGTAGGTCTCACTGTTTGGATAGGAATGTTCATTTCATCAAGATATGCATATGGACATGTTACAAATAATGTATATTATCAAAGTATATTGCATTGACATTTTCGTGCTAATTTTAATAAATCATGAGTCTTCATTTCATCAGCTCAAACTGGTTTGCTGAAGAACGGAAAGCATTTTTTTTAGGCTGCAGTTGTTAAAAAATGGGTAGGACATTTTAAAAAAAATGCTAAATTATTCCCTTCATTATTCTGTAATTAAAACATATTATTGTCGTTTACCTTCATTACAACACATATTACAAATACAGAATTATATATTTTAACCGTGAAGAAGAAAAGCCCTTCATAATTATATACATGTATAAAAACGAATAAAACATTATAGAATACATAAATAATCTTATTTTCTATATTATATATAAAAACGAATAAAACATTTTAGAAAACATAAGTAATCTCGTATTTTCTAGTACTTGCACATTGCACATAATTTAACTAGTCCAACATGTAAATATGGAGCAAAAACGAGTAAAATTGAAAGCAATGTTACAAGACTGTTCTTGTATTGGGTCAGGGTCTTTCAAATATTTGAAAGACCCTAATTGGGCCTTAAAATTTTAAGAGCGCAACAAAATGCTGCGCATGATTCGGATTCTAAATTATACGCTTTTATTTAAATATTTTGTAAATCTTAATGATTTAGGTAACCAACATGTCTTCCCCCAGGAATATGGCTATCCTTGGCTTATCAATCTTTATTGGTATCTCCATACCAACATGGGCCCAAGCAACGGAAGCCCCCGTTAATACAGGTTTGTCAACATCATAGGAAATATTTAACAATTTTAGACAACGGATTTCACAGTCAAAGTTTACGTATAGTTATATATTTGCATCCATGATAAGAAGTGCATTGTCCTTCAAAGAATTTCATTATGTACTTTAAAAAAGAGGAACGTAAAGTAATTTATGTAATTTAGCAAAGCAGTTAAATATAAACTAGACAACTGTTTATTATACGCTTGTTAAAACTATATAACATATAGAAAGGAACATCTTTATTTTTTAAGTATACATCAAAACAACATTTTATACATTAGGTCATGCACAGTTTGACAGTATAATGAAGATGTTGCTAGGCAACCCAAACCTTACTGGGACCATTATAGCGTGTTTCCTTGACAACACAGTGCCCGGTATGTATTTAAATACTAGTTTAGAATTAATATTTTGTAAGAGACATAAATCAGAAAACCGGGTTTTGCCAATTATCCGCCTCATTAATTTTCTCACTTAAAACTCACAACTGTTTCTGTAATCGACGTGAGCTTATTGCAGTGTGTGATGATTGTCCGTGATTAACTGAGAATCTGAGTTTTTGTTATTCATTAACTACACTGTGACCGAAGTTACATCTCATGAATATTCAGAAAGGCAAATTTTCAACCGGATAGGATACTGCAACATGAGTGAAGTAATAAGATTTAAAACTAAGAACTTAGGTCAGAAAATTTTTAAGGCCGTTCATCAGCAAAATAATTGAAAGACGGATGTTGGTGCAGTTTTGTGGAAGCGATAGACGCATGCGCTTAATCGGTTTATTTTGCCAACTTCAGCCTTGCCTTCTTTATGAAAATTATAAAATAAACATAAACATAGTGTGACTAGTCTGTTGTTCTCAATAAGAAATAAGAAAAATAAGAGAATACCCGTATATCTTTATTTTTTTATTTTTTTTTATTTTTTTTTATTTCGAGTTTGATATTATAGGTTCCAACGATGAGAGAGGTATTTCTGCGTGGCAAGTCAGCGACGATGACGTAGCTTCCGGTCACGATAAAACAAAGTTCAACGAGGGCTACGAGGTGTATAACCCTCTGTTACCAAGACGGCTTCTGTCGTCAAAGATTATGAAATTTATACCGTTTCTACCATACGAGGCAAACAAAGAAGTGGATACAAATGTATATAGTATATAGGTCAAATCACGTGTCTCTAGAATAATAAAGCAGACGTGTGTGTGTTTATTTCTGCATTTTATGTATGCGAGCACATGAATGACAATTGTAACCGTTTAACCATTTAATCGACACGGACAAGCTTTCATTGACTTGTAGATAAGGTCAGTTTTGTAGATGTAAGAATGAATAAGTACAAGACAAGCTCCTGCATTTTCGTAACATTATTATCATAAACAGATATACATTAATGATAGATATCTTTAATTTCATGATTTGGATAACTACGACTTGCACTGCTTTATTATACTAGCATAGCGATAAATTCTAAAAAAATCGTTTCCCCTCGATATTTTGTGTATTTTTTTGTTGTTATTTTTTTACGTTGCATCTACGCTTGAAAGGTCATATGTTTAATATCCGGCTTAACTGCTGGAGGAAGACCTCAAGTGCCTCGCCGTGAATTATTTCATGCACAAACAGGCAACTGCATGAGAAGAACCAACGGCGTTCCGTATACTAGCTGAATAGTGTCTTAACATGAAAGAATCCAGATTTCCTGGCGGGATACGAAGCTACAGCGGTGAGGGGCAATTGGTTTAAATTTGACGACCTTAACTACGCAGCAATGGGTTTCGTTTGATTGTTTGTTTGTTGTTTTTTTTGTTTGACGCTTCACAAAAATATGTAATATGCATATATACCGGGTCACATGACAGAATTTACACTTAGACACATGGCCATACCTCGCATTGAATATCTTTTACTTACATAAAATAAACAAACTTCTCAGCATACTTGAACAAAGTCTTCTTAATTCTGACCATGAACTCGGTCTTAACAAAAATGCTCAAGACGAAAGTCATGGGCCGGGGTTTTAACGAAAAAATGATAGGAACTCGGGAAAGGGACTGCTGATAGCGATGTTTTATCCCAAAATCTTCCACGGTCTTTTTTAGTATATTTGTCGTCCTTTATCATCTTTCCATATTATCGAAGCCTATGGTTTTTCAGAAATTTTTTACATCAAATTGACTTGATGTTGTATCATGAAGCAAATTATAAAATCGTATCGTCATAATGTGTTTTGCAAGGGTTAAAATATCCGAAACTTTGTGAACATGTTTCCTAAATTAAATCACCGCATGCTTACCTGGTTTTACAGTAATTAGCACCAATTATAAAGTTACGAATGACCACGCATCAAAGTAGATTACTTAACGTATAAACATGAAATTTTACCTACTTGTTCACATCAGATTTCAAATTGATTATCTTTACCCATTTAGCTATACCTCTTATGCAGTCATGGATGCTAGACTTTAAAGAAGGTTTTAATAAAATTAAACTCCTATTATGCCTTGATTTCCCCCCATAGATATTTAAAAACTAAAGTGATCAATTTAATTTCGCGGAAATTCGCTGAAATTCGACTATAATTTGGATTAAACTGTTTTGGAGAAGTAGCAGCAGAAAATGCCGAGCGAAACTCAAGAAGAGAAAACTGACGTTGAACAAATTAAACTCACTGAACAAGATTCGTGTAAAACTAAAGACGAGGTTTTGGAAACAACTGTAGAAAATTATGCGGACAAATATTTGATATACGGTGTAAATGATGCGCCTCCTATACATATTACGATTGTCTGTGCGTTGCAGGTAAGGCAGGTTCTTTTGTACAGCCAAATCCGTGAGCAAAGGCCATCCAAAGGATCGACCAAACATGACCTTTATTGACAAGTGGTTTTTACTTGGAAATTATCTTTTTATATTTAATAAATGAAAGTTTGTGAAAAAGTGATCTTTATTAATGAAGTGATCTTTATCCGAAGGTGGTCTGTCACACAGGTATGACTGTAACTCGTCGTTGTTAATTCTTATAATAACTACATCCTATTGCAGAAACAAATCTTTTGCCAATACATATTTTTACACACAATTACAAAAAAAAAACGCAATAAATATATAGACAATTTCATGTTATATGATCTTTTTTATAATAAAAGAAATAACTTTTTTCGGATTTTAATGGCTGACACTGGCTGCATTTTTTACGCATAAAATCTGTAAAAGGGGTGATCCTTCAAAAGCACTGAAATCAATATAATATGACAACTGCAGACCTGGGCCGTTTGATTGCGTATGTTCAAAAAAGTGCAAAATTTCTAACGCCCATAAGCCATTATGAAAAATTCCTTCAAATTTTGTTTGTTTGTTTAATTCATTTTACGCCTTTTCCCATCAGTATTTCAGTCATATAGGCGGGTAGTTTCCTAACCATTGTTCCTGGAGAGTTACACCAGTACTAGACTACCTTCCTCCGTGCTAAACTACCAAAGCATCTCTCGGGGATCGAACCCACGCCAGAGAAAAAAATAAAAGAATATACTGTAAATAAAAAACATTGCATGACATGTTTAATTTGATCTTCATCTTGCGTAATGATTGACGATTTTCAGCAAGGACTACTTTCTCTGTCCGGTCAGCTAATTGTATCCTTACTCGTGGCGGAAGCAGTGTGCGCGTCCAACAATGAAATTTTCAAAGCGAGGCTGCTTAGTTCTACACTGTTTATGAGTGGCGTAACAACAGTTGCCATGAATCTTTTTGGGATCAGGTAAACAAGATGAGAAATAAACGAGTTATCGTTGAAATTGTTTCTTCTTTATGACCTTGTGATTTAACATGACTGGTTAATTCAAGTTCAGACGGTACATTTATCTGCAGTTTTGGAACTTCATGTTGACAATAAAAAAAACGTTTAAGAAACGAGATAAACCTTAACATAGTATCAAAATGTAATGATGTCCTTGCATTCTGTACATTAATTGAATCTTAAATAAATACGCCATTGAACGATCAGGTTTGACAAAAGACTCAAATAGGTATTCCATATGAAAAGGAACACATTCAATACTGAATGGTTGCATTTCGCTCTAATCGGGCGAAGAATAGCAATGAAACACGATTTTCAATTTATTACCTGAGTATATTTCATTAGTGTCCTTTACATATATTTCTGTTTTATGTGTCCCAGCTGGTCTATGTAAGGACATTTAAATTTTATGTTTTTAGGCTTTTAGAACTAAGAATGTGACTATGCAAGTTTTTAGTCCAATTGCTATATTAATAAATGCTTTTGGACTTTGGTGGAGTTCCTTTAAATTGACTGTGCAAGTTTTTAAGGGCACTTGCTATATTGATCAATGTAAAAACTAAAATTAATGATATTTATAAACTTACATACTTCTGTTCCGAAAAGGTAGTATTTCTTATATTATATCGTACTTGACTAGAATATGGACAGACACCCAGAAAGCATTTATACCTTTATACAGTGTAATTTATTATATTTTATTTAACAATACCATTTTAACTGAAAATAAATCTAACTTGAAAATAATACATTTGAACATTTGAGTTTTTCATGAAAAAATACCTAGTAAACCCTACTTAACGGTTACTCACTACTGAATGAATCCGTGTGGTTCGTTTTCAGATAACATCATCGACTGGCCATTAGTTTTTTAACATAAGCGTCATCAGCAAAATTTATATTACTTGATAAAAAGTAATAGAAAGAGCATCGAAACACGAGGCTATCTGATTTGTACGAGGAGGGGGGGGGGGGGAGTAGCCACCGAGTATTAATCAGAGTGCGAAGTGTTTTGATGTTATTTCTCTTTTGTATCATAGTCAAATATAAAAACACGTTCCCTGTTGTCACAATATGAAACCCCGGGAAAAAGTAACCAATGAACGAGCATCTAAATATGATATTTCTGTCGCTTTCCCTTTTCTCATCCGTCACAATAAGTAAACCCCAGCAAAAATGAGCAAATCAATGGGCATGCTCTGGAGTGCGGGTAACTAATACCTGCACTCCAGTTAACGCACTGTGCATGTATATGTATACGATTTAACTCTGACACATTTTCAACAGAAAGGTCCCCAAACTATGATACAAAGGTTTGATGATGAATATTAATGAGAAATTAACATCTCACCTTCTTGTACCAATTTTATGATTTAATTAAGGGAAAAGGGACATGTAGTTTAATATTGAAGACTTTGAATTCGAAATGAAAACAAAAATCCATTCATTGTAAAATTTTGATTAAAAATTGTAACGTCATAATATATTTTTTTAAAAATTGTGTACAAATTTTATGCATGCAAATATAGTACGTAATGATCTAAACAATATATAAACTTGGTTTTTGTAGACTTCCATTATTCCAGGGCGCGGCCTCAGAGTATGTGATACCGTTGCTTCTTGTTGCTAATGTTGATGGAACGTTTTGTTCAAGTCTAACACCAGAGTCCGGTAATATGCTGTTGTTTATTTAATAGATATACTTTATCATATGATTCATGAAGAAAATCAAGTTAGCTTAATGATTTATTTTCTACTTGGTTTTGGTCACAAATCTATTTGTTTGCCAATCGTCTTTTAGTTAAGTTTAAAGAAATTTATTAGTTTATAAAAATTTATTTTAGTTCATGTTGGAAGCTATAAGCTAAATGAAATGCTTACTCTCGAATCCGTTCCTGGAACTAAACAGTACTAAGCAATGAATGTAAACGTTCTACCCTGACAGGGTTTGAACCCACGCGGTCAGCTATCCTGAGATTACTAGCCCGACGCATTTACCACTCGGTCACGCTGTCACTCAACAAATTTATTTTAGCTTAATGGCGATACAAGATCATGCAAGTTATATTAATCGCATTCGAGCCGTTTCCTGGAGCTAACCGGTACAGATGTCATGTCACAGTAGGGTTCTAACCCATGATTCCTGACAGACACCTTTACCACGAGGCCACCGCTTTCAGTTCAATCGTCTATTGATTGAATATGTTAACACTTAAATTCCTTTTTGTTAATTCCGCTTTGGCCAGATAAGGTATTGGATACACAGACCATCGTTTCAAGGAAAGGAGTGATGAAAGGTTGGGCAAATTTTTAACTTATGCTTTGGTCACTTTGATTATACAAGTTGTGCTTAAGCAATATTGCTTTTTAATTTGTGAAACTGATGTTTAGAATTCATAAACTATGTATGTTGCTAATTTTGGAAGAATTGTTACCTTCACACTCATGCTGAAAGGTTTTTGGCGTTGAATATTCATGAGCATTGAGCTATAAAATATTCATAAACACGGTCTATGAAATTAACAAAATAGGATGTAAGTATAATTATATTACTTATTTTGTTATCTTCTGACATTTGTCAGCCTTGTGTATAGCTATCTAAGTCGGTGCTAGTGAGGACATTATTTGATAAGAGTGACTTTGATAAGACACAATTTTTGCCTTGTTTATCGTTTTTGTTATTCAACCGCAGAAAGCTGTCCAAATTTGCATTTACATGAAATGGAAATATGTCCTTCACACAAACTGTTATATAATACCTTAAATTTCTAGCTTAGCTAATGCAAGCGGTCCATAATAGTACGATATTTGACGCACAAAATTATGTTTGATATATGTCCCAACCACCGATAACGAGCAAGACCAAACGTATGTTGGACTAACGGAGAACAACTTTAAAAACAAGTTTCACAATCACAAGGTCTCTTTCAAGCACCAACACTAAAAACAGTACTGAACATGGGAAAATCTCAAAATATCTGGTAAAAGTTATTCCCCCTAACTTCACGAACACCATTTGTACCTGATGATTGCTATAAGCATGAAACTGTCCAGCAGACAACGTTGATTCCTTTAAAGTTTATTTATATGTCAATTAGATATTTTATATTAATTCAATTATGTTTATATTTTGTCATATTTAGAACAGTCAGTTGCCATTAATATGACAGCCAATGCAAGTATTGAGGAAATACCGATAGACCGAATAATGTCAAATATACAAGCGGTAAGTATGACTGAACTCAATTCAACCATATGTCTTTACGAGAGATTCCCATCCTCTGTAACCCTGGCTATACCAGGCAGTATTACCAAACTCCTTACAGTGAATAGATTACCTCTCTCAGTGTCTCTTGGCACATTACTGTAATGATAAGGGGAGATCACTACGTGGGAGATAAGATGTAGTATATACAGAATGTGTAGTGTGGGTTCCAACGATAAGGGGTTCCATGATGTTTGTAGAATTATGTAACCAATCAGTAAAATTGACATCTGGACCATTCTGCACTTTACTTTAAATGTCCACAACCTGTTACTGAGTATACTTTCTTAATAGTTGAAAACAATGAATTTGAGCTACATAGTTCTTAAGGTGATTCTGCAATCTCACCAATGTTGATTTAAACTAAGTGGGACGTTGGACAATTTTCATATAAAGGCAAAGCTTTCAATTTAAAATGATAAACAATTTGCAATTACACTTTGAAGTCTATGTTTTACGGACTAATATAAAAAGCTAAAATGATAACAATAAGAATGTACAGTATACCTTGAATGTGCTAAATCTCTGAAGTCCAAGTATAATCGTTTGCAATGTTTTATGCTCATTTCATGAATGACATAATCTATTTTAAAATCTGTTTTGTTTTGTTTTTGTGCGGAAGAATGCTGGTTTTTGCAACTAACATATAGAACTTGCATAATCTTAATAACTTAGGACATAGAGGGTTCTGAATTTTTTGTAACCCCTTTATTTTTGGAAAAAGAAAAAAAAATATTACCCTTATTTGTAGTTTTTAATGGAATAGAAATGTAATAGCGATTTCAGCACTATTGGCTTCGTCTTGTCGGAATACGCCCCCTTGTCTATACCCTTTTCTTCATTTATTTTACAGCTACAAGGAAGTCTTATGGTAGCCGGAGTCGTACACGCCATGCTTGGCTTTACTGGTCTGATTGGATTTCTACTAAAGTTTGTGGGACCGTTGACTATTGTGCCCACTTTAGTCCTCATCTTTATATTCCTCATAAAGCCAGTATTGAAGTTTGTGGAAGTTAACTGGGGGATTGCTATGTCGTAAGTGTAAATATATTCGTTGTTATTGGTGTGTAAGGAAGTTGTATACATATATGCCATAACATCAACAATGTTCTGCAATCAAAACACATCATAATACCGGAGAAAGGTAGTCTAGTACTGGTGTAACTCTCCGGGAACGATGGTTAGGAAACTACCCGCCTATATGACTGAAAAACCGTTGGGAAAAGGCGTAAAATGAAACAAACAAACAAACAAACATCATAATGCCCTTTAAACAGCAAATATAATACGAAAATCAATATAGTTGGTGATTTCAGTAGACATTCTGTAGGGACAAAACTGACTTCTAAGCTTTGCTGACGAAGGAGACCTCCATGTTGTTCCTATGTACGTCATATCCGGCACGTGCACAAGCACTTGTTGAGAGATAAAGGCTTATAGGAAGATATTACATTAAAAATCGTTACTTATTAAGTTATTTGTGTTCCGTTGTTACTGTTGAAATCAGTGAGTGATTTGTAAGACTTGATTAAATATTTTCAGGACAGTACTTCTTGCTGTTATTTTATTCCTGTACCTTGGCAACCATAACATGCCAGTACCGGTGTGGACCCCATCTGGTGGGTTCCGGATTGTTCACTATCCACTACATCAAGTATTTGCCGTGAGTAAAATATTATCCCTACTCTTTAAACTGATTAAATTGTGAAATCAAAAGTATGCTCAAATTACAATCTCTTATACTGAATATTCATAGTTTACATTTTTTGTCATTCATTTGTAACCATTTATCAAACAAATTTCTGATATTTTAAATTTTCATTTAATATTTTTCATTTGTAAATTTCTTGAATGTATTATAGGATTGATACTGGTAAACAGTTCTTATTGATTTTGTTCTCTTTTCTCTTATTAACTCAAATAAAATTCAAGTAATTTTAACTTTTTTTACACTTTATTAAGGTGACTTTATAAAAATATATAAAAATATATTCTTAGGCCATTGTTAATCAAAAACTTACTAAATTTCTTATGAAGATGTGTAAAGCTCCCGTATTTGAAACTACCATGTATATTTTTTTGTAAGTGATGACTAGTTCTAAACCACTTTCACAATCGCATTGTTTCAAAATTTAAAAAACAACACATTTCAATATAATTCTATTGCTCTCTAGCAGATTTTCAAGTTATGCTTTTTATTGTATACTTAGATCCTCATATCTATAATTGTCAACTGGATCATCTGTGGAATACTTACTAAATTTGACGTCATAGAAAACGATCCCGACGGCAAGGGATACAATGCTCGTACAGACGCACGGAGTGATATAATATCAGATAATCCATGGATAACGTTCCCGTATCCAGGTAAAATAGGACCTAGTCTATTTTTCTGTTGCATGTACGCCATGATGTGATTTATAACTGATTTTGCAGAATTTATCACCATATTTCTATTGCATGACTAACACAGTAAGGGCAATTTCGGCATATATAGACTAATGTTTTTTTTTTTCATTTATGTGGATTGTTAGTGTCGTTTTGCACTTTGTAATTATTTTTCTTTGTTCACTTCACAATATTGTACTTTGAAATACATTTTCAAAAATTTCATTAAATTTCGAATACATTTTAAGGCATACGGCTTTTAAGTTTTACATATACAAGACCAGTGCTGTTTCTATTACCAATACGGGTTGAACATTTGTCTTTCGTTTACTCGTTTTGCCTTGAGAAATATGACAAAAGGATGGTGTCATTAAAAAGAATAAATAAATTAATAAATAAATAAAGTATGTACTTTTTTATTCTAGGACAATATGGTCCGTTCAGCTTCAGCGGCGCAGCATTTTTATCATGTATGATTGCAACATTAATTTCTGTGCTTGATTCAATTGGTGATTATTACGCATGCGCAAGAGTATGCCGCGTGCCAGCGCCACCACGTCACGCGGTTAATCGCGGCATATTGATAGAGGGAGTGTGTAGCTTTATCTCGGGCAGTGTTGGCTGTGGACATGCCACGTCGACATATGGTGGCAACATAGGAGCCATTGGTGTTTCAAAGGTAGCGTTCATTGGTCAATCATTGCTGGTTATTTAAGTTTCATAAAATAATCTAAGAACATAGACATTTCTTAGTAATAAATGACAAAATTGATCATCATTTGGATAATTTTTATAAGTTATTGCTTGTAAAAATGATTATAAATGAAAAGTAAAGTAATTTGTATGAACATTTATATAATGAAAAAATATAATTTTGTTCCAAACATTTTATTTTCTGCTGTATTAATATAATTATGTGATATTGGATCATGTATCTCATACTAACTTTATATCTGATACATGTACATGTACTGTCAATGCTATTATTTGATGTTATAGACCTTCCATTATAGACCAATTCACCTTAAAACTTCTTTCTGTGGCATTGTACAGAAAACGTAATTAAATTCTGATTATTTTGCAGGTTGCCAGCCGGAGAGTGTTTCTATGCACAGGAATATTGTATATTTTGTTTGGTATATTCGGCAAGTTTTCGGCTATATTTATAACAATTCCTTATCCGGTTCTTGGTGGAGCTATAGTCGTCATGTTCGGGATTTTCTTTGGAGTTGTTCTATCAAACTTAGAAGTATGTATTAACTTTTATCGTTTATTGTTTCACAATGTTTAATAAAATTGCCAGTGCTTTTTAATCGTCCGGAGAAAAAAGAAGTATCTAGGTAACCATAACAAGTGAAAGCAATATTCATTATTTGTAACTTAAATATGATTTATAAAATCTGAACAATATGTAACATGACTAAAAAATTTTTATGTATAAACAGCTTCCGGAATAAGTTTGCAAATCCGGGATTTACGCAAACTCAGCTACCCTTCCTTAAGTAATTAGAAAATCAATGAAGAGTTCAGTCAACAATGGGTATAAAGTTAAGCAAAAACTGGCCTTAAAATTTCACATACCCCTCTGACAATGAGTACTGGTTTGTGTCTCCCACTGGGTGATTTCATTCTCCCACTGGGTTTTTCATTCTCCCAATGTTTTTTTTTTCATTCTCCCACTGGGTTTTTTTCTGTCCAGTGGGACATGTCATGGCGTTTTACCCCCGGGAGAGATTAAGAAAGAAAAGAATTAACAATTTTGCAAGAAAATTATTATTGTAGTCTTCAAATCCTTTTTATTGTTAATATAAACCTAAAAAGCAATGTTTAAAATTCCTTCCATTTTTTACCCATGATATATGTCTTCTCGTGCGATAAGTTTCTCTTGTGGTCAAAATAACTTTTATCACATTATTATCACATAACTATCACGTATTATATTTCTTTGGAAACTTCTGGAAAAAATATTATTCATGAAACGTTAAGAAACGATACAAATAATTATATGGTGGCTTATTTCAGCCAACAGTTGACCATATAATTATCGCGTTAACTATCTTACCGAGTTGTTAGTTTTCAGGTTAACACTATAATTAACAGATATTTATCAGACTCACTAGATGCTTTTCTGTTACATAGATATATAACAAATAAGTATCTAACTTCCAAAAACACTAAAAGTGCCAACAGAACTGCCAACACTTACCAGTTAAATGATAGATAATTTTCTGTTTATCTATAAAACTTTTATGTTTGTTAACTTAAGTATCAGATAATTATCTGTATAAATAGATAAATTTTCAGTTAATAGATAAAAGCGGAATGTTTTGGACATATTCCTAAGAAATATCCCACCATACAATTCTTTTGGATTTCAGGTTACGAATATGTCCTCTCCTAGGAACATGGCTATTATTGGGCTGTCGATATTTATTGGCCTGTCCGTACCAACATGGGCCCAAAAAGTTGAAAATCCTGTTAATACAGGTTTGTTGATAAAAATCAAATAATAACCTTCTTGAAATATGTTTAAATCATCATTTTTTAACATTCTATACATGAGGTTATCTCCTAAAAAGAAGAAAAGCACATGTTTCAAGCGTTATTTGTAATACACTTATTTGTTTTCATCATGTAAACTTCTTTTTGTTAGAATGTGTGTTAACCATCTTCTTCAGTTTTTAAGTAATTTTTGTTTCAGTAACATAATAAATCAATTTTTATGCAAACAGATTATTGATAAATTTCTCGTCTAATAATAAATGTCATGTGAACTTTGACCTCATTTAGGTAACGGACAATTTGATAGGATCATGGCAATGTTGCTAGGCAACCCAAATCTTATTGGGACAATATTAGCTTGTTTCCTTGACAACACGGTTCCTGGTATGTTTTCTGTTTATATTAGCAATTATTGTTTGTTTCTTTTCTAGTAAGTAAGTCACCAAGTAATATTGTTCATGTTAAGTTTTAGAAATATTCATGAACACGTACTTACAATTTGCGCATGTAGATAAGTGTAAAGGATTCACGTCTCGTGCGCATGCATTCAAATAAACTTGGCGGTAAACATGTACATAATTATAAGAAATTATAAGATTACTAAACAAGATGTATATCTCATGAAATTTTAACTGTGTGAAAGGTAAGATATAAAATTGTGCACTTTGTAGGGAATAAGTCAAACCCTAACAACACTTGAAATATTTATAAAAAGTAGATGTTAATGCCGTCGCTAAAAGTTATATTATTGAATAATGCATTTATTTCGTGAACTTAAATTGTTGAATAATGCATTTATTTCGTGTACATTGGTTTTTTAAACTTTGAAAACATTCAAAATCTGCAACTTTAAGGTAGCGACGAAGACCGAGGTATAGCCGCATGGCAAGTCAGCGATGATGACGTAACCGCCGGTCACGATAAAACGAAGTTTAATGAGGGCTACGAAGTTTATAGTCCTTTGTTTCCAAGACGGCTACTGTCGTCTAAAGTGATGAAATTTATACCGTTCCTTCCATACGAGGCATACAAAGACCCCGAAACCTTTGCCAATGGTGTATAGAATTCAATTTGGATAAATAGATTTTAATATTTAGTAAAATGCCAATCGGAAAATATTACGGGTTGGTTTACTCTCCGTACACTATACATGTATATGTGGAAATGGGCGTGATCTACTCTTGGTCACGTGTCACGGATAAAGAGGCAGGATCAGCTTTTCTCAATGCTCAAAGTTATTTGGGCACTTGTTTATTAAATTCCCTTTGAATATGTAGTAAATAGACAGACAGAAAAGGTTTTTATTTTGTTTTTGCTTTGTTTGTTACTGATTTTGTTTTGTTCTTATTTGTCTTTCTTTTCTTTTTTTGCGTTATTTTTTAATTAACCCTTCAAACAGAAGGGTATTAAATAATTCTGTTATTTTGCGTAACATTTGCATTACAATGGTCCATTACTTGTCACGATTAACAACATGTTTCTTCTAAACCGTTATGTACGGAAAATAATTTGAATATAAGAAATACATGTTCATATTAATAAAAAAAACAAGATAATTTTCTAAATCTTACATACGAGACAAGGGACGTGTATTTGTGTCTTTTGTGAACTTGTATACTACCTGTGCACAAGTATACAACGTGATTGTAGGTAAAACATTATTTTTTTATAAACATTAAAATTCAAGCCATTGAAAGAGGAAAAGTGCAATACTATATACCCGAAATCGTATAAATCTTCTTTTGTCTTCCTAAAATTATTTGCATTCCAAATTGGCTAAGTCATGTGTACCGTACTAACTGCAGTGGTAATTTTAAGATTCGTCCGATTTAAACACTCAAATAATGATTGCTTGTTAAAAGAAAAAAAATATGTATGAACAAATGACCATTAACCTGATATTATAACGTCCGCTTTGAGCATGTAAAGTTACGGGCTTTGGTTTAAAGCAGCACTTTTCCAAATTCATCCTAATTTTCATGAAAACTATGAAAATGTATTAAAAAGTAAATTATTGTGAAGTCAACAAAGAAAACAATTTTTACAATGCAAACATCACTTACAATCCATGTAAATTAGCAAAACAGAGGTCAAGATATGCAAACATAACCCTTATTGCGTTAGTAACGCAGTAGAAATATGGTGAAAAATACTGTAAAATCAGTTATAAATGTCACATTACATGGTAATAATTACCTTTATCTTGATTCATCTTACTTTTCTAGATTTCTCAGAACTTTTTTTTTCATTTTTCTTTTCTTAAAATATTTTTGTTCATTTGGAGGCGTGCAGCTTTAAAGTCTCTTTTAACTAAGACATGTCATTGTCTTCCTTATCTGTGATCATTAGGGGATATCCTTGATATCCTTGCCTTTCATTTACCCAATGATGGACACAATCGTGTGATAGAGTACTATTCAAATTTAAAGACATGATATAAGTCGTTAAACATTGTGTGAATCTTAATCAGAATTTTATCAAACATGACACATGCAATCAACATATACACACAAAAACATATCGTCTAAAGTGAAATTTTAACAAAATGCCCTTTTCATAACTTTACACTATCTGTAATACTATAAACTGTTTCTTTTGAAACCATTATCTCTGAATTAACAGACTCACAAGATATGTCACATGTTTTCGCGACCTTGTCAATAGGCCATAACGACATAAAGCAAAATGGTATATGTTTCGCTATCCTTGAGTTGTGAAAATACTTGTTGATTAGAGGTAATTCATAAATTTTTAATCTTTTCATTGTCCTTAAGTCCATTGTTCCTGCCAATTTATGCTCCTTCCACGCGGTTAAACCTCGTTCTGAATCAGTGCCTGAATATAGATCAAAGCAAAACACTGCTTTAAACATGGCTGTATGTACATCAAAAAGTTACAAACTAAAAACTATGCTTAAAATTCCAACAAACGCTTGAATATCACAATTAAAGGGAAACGTCAACAGTTATATCGTTATGGAGATATTGTTATGAGAAATATCTAAATACAAAAGGAAATTGTTTTATACAACAATGGAGCTAAATGGAATTTGCTGAACATGTATATGAACAAACATTATTTTTATATTATTTGTGTAAATAAGCAAGTATCGTTCAAAAGAAAGGTTTCAAAGGCGTCTAGGTAATTTCAACTAATTTCTTTTAGATAATTTGTTGTTAAACATTGACCGAAAGTCCGCAAAAATTATTTCATATATAAGGTACACTATGCCTCAGAAACAAATCAGTTTTTTTCTTTAGAAATGGCAGACATTGGCTTTATAATGTTTAAATAATAGTTTCAGAGAATGTTACATGCTTATCACCTATAAAAGAGTGCTGAATGGAAAATTATTTGTCATAAAGTAACAAAATGTAAACAAAGTAGTATTTTGACTTCCATGCAAAACAGAAAATCGATTTATTATAAAAAAAAATTAAAGGCAACAGAAGCAAAAGATAGTTCAGGTTATTAGGACAATTTCAACTTTACCAAGAGAAGTAAGCATGAAGGTAAATTTAAAAACTATCAAAGGACACAAACTAAAAGCATTTAATTATGAGGCATAATGTGCTTTTAACTGAGATAGTGTTAAAATCAACACAAGCGATGTTCATACCTGATTAGATGTATTGTCTAATTATTTTCTAATTATAAAATATTATAGGAACATTATGCCTCAGAAATCCATATTTTTCAATTCTTTAGAAATGTCAAACATGTGTTTAATAATGTTTTAATAATGAATTCAGAACATATTAGAAGTTTAACAACTAAAATAATTGTTCTGAATGTGCAGTAATGTGTCGTTAAGAAAGCAAAATGTAAACAAAAAAGTATTTTGACTTCCACACAAAATACTCATTCACTATACATGTGATTTTACCCATTGCCAACAGATAATAAAATGTGAAGATAGTCTAGCTACGTCGCAAATGTGTATTTGTTTGGAAACTGTAACAATATACAAGAAATAAACAAGTTTTTGTGAAATAAAAATAACAGCATTTCTCAGGCATAATGGGCTTTTAAGATAATTCTTACCAGGGATAGTGTTGTCAAGAACAAATCCTACAACAGCACCCACAAACATACTGGTACTGAGTAAAATGTTTAATACTTGATCTAAAAAATCACTTCCTGAAATCAGATTACACAACATGGTATGCTGATGGTCGTGTAACTTTGTCAACTCAATTTCGAGAAGTTAGCATGAAGGTAAATGTAAAACATTGACTTCATGAATTCAATTGTTCAACTTCACGAATTCACGATTTCAACTTTACCAATTCAACTCCACATATTCACGATTTCAACTTCGTCAATTTTACGATTTCAACTTCATGAATTCACGATTTCAACTTAACGAATACAACTTCGAAAATTTACGATTATATTTGTGAACTCCGTATGTTGAAAACTTGCATTCACGCGGTTAAAATTGAGAATTCACGAAGCCTGAATCGGGAATTAACGAAGTTGAAATGTCCCCAGCGGTCTATCGTAATTCATAGACATAATTCGATTAATACCAAATTTGCTGATTTGTTCAGTTTTGTTTTTACAACACACTAAAACAATTTAGATCATATGGCGCCGAAATAGGAAAGATGATTCTGGCTAACCTCGTGTGTTACAAACTTAAAGATTCTGTAACACAATTTTTTATGGTTTTAAACCATAAATATGATGCTCAAATTAAGATTTATCAATATTGAAGGTTCCAAAAAGCATTATTAATAAAGATATTACCGAATTTAACATTTCACGTAAATAAATGGAGGTAATATTTTTTTAATTTTCTATAAAGTTTAAGTCAAATTTACAATAAGAAATCAATGCATAGGTATTTACCAGTTTTGATGGCTTCTTGATTTTCCATCAACCAGTTTGGCATGCTGATTCCGAAAAATAACGAAACACCCAGAATAAACATATTTCTAAAAGAATTTAGATCTATAAACTGAAGAAATGACAGGCCAACACCACTGATAATACCTGCAAGATAATATAGACTTACACAAGTTAAAATGATAGACAAAAATTACACTGAAAGACAAAAGTTACACTGATAGACAAAAGTATCATGATGGACAAAAGTTTCAGGGACAAAAGATATGCTGATAGACAAAAGATGTGCTGATAGACAAAATATATGCTGATAGACAAAAGTTTCTTTGATAGACAAAAGTTAAGCTGATAGACGTTATGCTGATAGACAAAAGTTTTAACCGATAGACAACAATTTTAATGATGGACAAAAGGTATAATGATGGACAAAAGTTATATTGATTGACAAAAGTTTTAATGGTGGACAAAAGTTATATTGATGGACAAAAGTTATATTAATGAACAAAAGTTATACTGATAGACAGAAGTTATAATGATGGACAAAAATTATACTCATGGACAAAAGTGATACTCATGGACAAAAGTTATACTCATGGACAGAAATTATAATGATAGACAAAAGTTGTACTCATAGACAAAAGTTTCAACGATAGACAAAAGTTTTAATGATATATAAGAGTTATATTGACATGATTGTAATTAGATTTGTTTATGATACAATCCAGTTTTGCAAGGATAACAAATATAGATGAATGGCAAATAATGTCAAGTACATAAAAAAACTGCAGAAAAAGGACATATTTACCAAATATTGTCATGAGCATGCCGCCTATGATAGGTGTAGGGATTGTGGTAAACAAAGCACCAAACTTCCCAAAACATCCAAATATCATTAACATTACGCCGCATGTTTGAATAACTCGCAAACTCGCAACCTGGTCATTTTATGTAAAGACACGTTAGTATTTATTTATTTATTTTATTCAAGATTAATAAACAAATCGTTCAACTTTTGTTCCGTATAAAGATCACAGATGCACATTATTTTAAGAACGTAGTATTTTTATAAATCATAATTTAAACGATTGTTAAATACAATATGCGTAACACAATATTACAAACATTTAATCATTTTTTAACGATTAAACCTTTTAGGAACAATTCATGGTAAATTTATCAAAATCAATTAAATGTACATTAATTTTGCCTCAGAAATTATATATATTTTAACTTCTTTAGAAATGTCAAACATTTGTTTAATAATGTTTTGATGTACAACAACTGTAGAAAGTAAAGCTGAACGTGTGAAGTTATGTGTCTCAAATGTAGCAAAATGTTAATAAAGTAGTATTTTGACTTCCATAAAAAATCACTAAAATTATACCACCTACTAAAGAACAAAAGAAGCCAAAAAAAATCCTAATATCCTATATATGGCAAACCAGTACTTTTTGGAAACTGTAATAAGATACAAAAACAAAAGATTTTACGAAAAAAAAAATGATAGCGTTTCTGAGGCATAATGGACCTTTAAAATAACTCTGAATGAGTGTATATTGTTTTACCTTTGTTATTCCTATAATACTCATACTATCACTTGCCGTCGTTGTTCCATTTCCGGTCCCCCATAAACCCGCTAGCATACAACATACTCCTTGCATGAAGATTCCGCGGTTTACGACATTTCCCGGAAGAGGCGGGGCCTCGGCAATAGTTGCGCATGCGTACACGTTACCAACTGCGTCTATCATCGTCACGATGACGGCTATAAGCATGCTGAACACACCTGCTGCTGAAATCGTTGGAATGCCCCACTGACCTTGAAATGGGAAATTGTAAATTTAAATATTCTCAATTAAAAAGTCTTAACCTGCTGAATTTGTTATGGATTTGCTCTCATTTAAGTTTAGAACGGTCATTTGGATTGTAAAAATAATGAATACCAAGTTGGGCTTATGAGTATCCAACTATGGTGTTTGATTTGTGCCATGTTGTTTTTTCACCCCGCGGGGCGCCAAGCGAAAATATAAAATACAAAAATTGACGACTTTGTCGTAAATTTACTGCGCGGATCGCAATGCGAAAATTCACGATAATACGACATTCGCCACTTTGTCGTATTATCGTGTTTTTGCCTTACTCCCCACGGAGCGAAAGTACCACAAAATGTTGATCAAAATTTTGAAAAACGGCATGTCTTAAATAAGCCACTATATCCAAAAGTATTATAGAAAAATCTGGTCAGTCTCAGTGCATGAACGGTCCGTCTGCCATGGCTTTATACCGGCTGCAAAGACTAATCGCTTTTAATTTAAGCATGTTCGAGGTTAATGAGCAATATTTCTTCACTAAGTTGAGTTTGATAAGGATCGAAAAATCCCTGAACATTTGCTAGGGGTGGGGGCGTGGACGGTTACTTGCACTTTCCAGTACCGTAAGTCTATGAACAAGCTCAATCAAACCGATTCTGCAACATTTTCAATTATGTCGTTCTTTAAGGATTCCGTTTCTTCTATTTGAACAGTATTACCTTGTCTTTTTACCAACTTCTTCATTCAAATCTTTTGACAATGTGGTTAAGGAAAAGTGGTATTAGATACATTGTGGCAAACAAAGCCGAATTCCGTAGACACAACGCTCCTGCTAATGCGGTAACACATTTTTAAGATATATCATGTATTTCGGTAAAGACTGTAATGATTATACTGAGCTATCTTACCATTTACACTCGTATTGGTTTGTAAGACATTCTTCGTATTAAAAAGAAACATCCATAAACGCATGCTAAGTAAGATCGTCGCAAAAGGGACTGAATCCGATATGTGCCAACTTTCCTCTTATGCAGTATTATATATTTGTGTAATATTTAGATATATCAATACTGAAGTGGAGAATTATATACAAATATTTAAATCATTACCCGGGTATGGAACACGGAACCAGCTTGCATCTTTAAGGACATCAATTCCAATGTCCGTCCGTGCGATGTATCCCCATTTTTCTGGATGTTCCGGTAACAACGAGGTTGCAGTTAGAATCGCACATATTGCCCATGTTCCAAATATACCAATTAAAATCTGAGAAATAATATTCAGTTTCTTTAGCATCAATATATAAGCATCCACGAGAAAAAAATGAAATATCAAGAACAGATAATAGTAAAACCGATTGTTCAGAAGTGAAACCGCTTAGACTTTTTGTATATAGAGTAAATGTTTTGTAATGTACGAAAGACGGGAGGGGACATTCAAACTTTATGAATTCACGATTGCATTTTCGTGAATTCACAATTTTAACTTCGTGAATTCACCTTTTCAACGTACGGAATTAACGAATTCACGATTTCAGCTTCATGAATTCAAGATTTCAACTTTATGAATTTTCGATTTTAACTTCACGAATTCACGATTTTAACTTCATGAATTCACGATTCACGATTTCAGGAAGTTGAAATCATGAATTCGTGAAGTTAAAATGTCCCCTCCGGTCTTTTGAAGTAATGGGATGATAGCACCATATCTGATCTACCCTTAAGATATTTGTTTAATAATTTCACATCAATCAATTTACATTACGTTGTGCTCAAAGTTTCAGAATGTTTATTCTGTAATATCGTTAACAAAATTTACCGGAAAAAGACTGAATAACGGAAGGCGCCTTGACAAGCTAAGCTTTGATAAACCTGGCACTGGAACCTCCACATTTCGTAAGTACTGACTACTTAACGTAAATAACACCACTGTCCTGAAAGATATACATATGTTTTAGCCTATTAAAATGATATAAGAAGTAGAACAAATTTTAATATACTTTAATAATGTGACAAAAACTAAGCTAACGAAAAAGTAATTAAAATGTAAAAAAATATGTTAAGAAAGAAAAAGACATTTGCACTATAAAATTTGGATCTAAGCGGACATTTCGTTTCCCGATCTTCAATTTTTAAAAAACGAACGTCACTGACACATTATAACTTTCGGGTTTTTTTTGTGATTTGTATAAAATTATTGAAATACTTAGTTTAATACAATACATAGTTTTTCTAGCAGAAAATAAAAGCTGAAAGCTTCAAATATAGTGGTTAATATAAGCTACTTGAAGTGTATGCAAATATACAGAACCTGTTTGTAGGTATAAGTTTACGTCATAAATCTTACGTAATAGCTATCCACCACTGACCAGATGCCATGTTAGTACCAGATCGGAATAAGGACAAACCAATGAGTGTCAAAGTTGGTGTTATCGTTAACGGACCGACGAACCGGAGTATGAATCCAAGTGTTCCGGTACAGCCGATCATAATTTCAAACATGGAAGCCACCAGTATAGATCCTTGAACCTAAATGATAATTTAACATAATGCAACAAAGATTTGAGTATTTTCTTTTGTGAAGAGTAAGACATAGGGAAATGAATGTTAAAAGGCACATTATACCACTGCAATGATTTTATTTTAATTTTGAAAAAAAAAACACTTTCTAATTTTGAAATCATGTTACAGTTTCCAAAACGTTACTCATTAGCCAATAACCTGAGCCATATTTTTGTTTGTGTTGCTTTTATATTTTGTATAGAAGTCAAAATACTTCTTTGTTTACATTTTGCTACTTTAAAGCAGCACGCCTTCAGATTTATGTTAATTTTCATGAAGACTTTAGAAATGAATTTAACAGTAAAATATTGTAAGGTGAATAAAAATAGTAATTTACATATTGCAGTCGGCACTTACAATCCAAGAAAATTACCAAAAAGTGGTCAACATAATATTATGCAAAAACAGCCGTTACTGCGTTAGTAAACGCAGTAGAAATATGGTGATAAAATACAGCAAAATCAGTCTTAAACCGCACATAACATGTAAAATATAACTTTGATCTTGAATGTTATAAACTTTCTTGAAATTTTAGTACACTTTTCTCAATATTGATTTTTTTTAAATATTTTGGCTCATCTGGAGGCGTCCAGCTTTAATTACATTCAGACAAGTGTCTTAAATACTAAAACTTTAAAAACTCACGATTGCCCTTTCTGAAAAAGGGGAAAAGGTGCTTTTCTGAGAAAGTGCGCCTTTAAAGAAAAATGTACTTAAATCATTTTTAGCATCATTAATTTAGTAAATTAATGGCCTTGGTCAACTAACTTTAAATCATTATTTCGACATGATGACATAATCATAAGGTACTAAACTCAAACACGTACTTCTCTTATCCTCAAAGTCCAAGTCTCTCGATAAGCATCACTCCCGGAGTGCAATATAGGAGATGACGTCACATTAGACGTCATATTACCTGGAAGGAAGCAAGTCAAAATTAAAGGATTTATTTTATGCTTTTCAGTGGATTACTGATTTATCCGTGAAAATTATATTTAATAATTTTACAGTGAAAATTATCAAAATATAATTTCACACTGCTCAATGACTAAACTACTTTCTTAAGATTTTCCCCATGTGGTACCTCAATTTTATTTTTGCTGACAATTCTGACAATGTCAGGCTGTTCAGAGAAAAGCAAAGCTGAAATTGATAAACAACTCAAATGTCAAAACTAATAAAAAGAATAAAACGTACTTCTATTCATTCAAATTACCAATCACTGTCACCAAATATCGTCTCTTATTTTTTGTTTGTTTCATTTTTACAGTCTGAAAAATACATTCCTTCCACATGCAAAACTGCTCTTGATGACATTTGGGAATATTTAAGTATCCTACGATCAATAACTGCCGTATGCTTTATGAAAACTTGAAAGCAATCACAGCCATCAGTCCGAAGAATAAGTAAACAACCCAGCGTTCGTTAGGCAGCCAAAATTTCCAATTTCCTAGCCGCTTTTTGAATGTTTACACTTCTGTCAACACTTATTTATTGTCTGTTACAATCCTCAAATAAGTTTTCTTTCTTTTTTAAAAAGGTGTAAGACTAACAAATCCAAATGATATACCTCTGAATCAATTATGTTCCTCCCGTGAAATACACAACTTTTAAAAATGGCGGCCGCTTACATTTAACAAACCCAGGTGTAATATAAATTCGCAGTAAGTAACAGAAATATGGATGGATGGTTGGACTTTTCTCCTACTAGAATTGTTTGTTTTTATTATTAAAACAAGCATTTATTCATATTTTTTTAATAAAATGAATAATATCACCACCATTTAACGTTGATTGTCGAACTTATTTTCAGCCCAAGACTTCTTGTATTTCAATGACTAAATGAGGCTCTAAATGGGGAAAACAGATATTAATATTAACGTTAATATTAAGGAAATTTCCTTTTAACTTTTTTTTAAGCATACAATTAAAAGAAAATTTGTTTGTTTGTTGTGTAACATGTAATTTTTATTAAATCTCGTGAACTTTAAAAACAGTATTCTCACTCGTGGCTACGCCACTCGTGAGAATACTGTTTTTAAAGCCCACTCGATGAAATAAAATTTCATCTTACACAACAAACAAACAAATATCCTCTATACATTCGAGGAGTTAAGCTGTATTATGTAATAGTTATAGTTATGTCCACTTCTCTCTCGTGTGCCCTTTAACTTTTATTTCAAATGGTAACCCATGATTACTTGAATCAATTGCAGCTTATGCTGTCGTGAGTTGTTTTCGCTGCTGCCAAAAAAAAACAACTTTTTTTTACAAACATTTGTACATAATCCACCCTGTTACTGAAATTCGGTAGGAAAAAATATAAGGCGTCTTTGAACTCATTTCTAGAAAATTTTCTTGTATGACACCAGTACTGGCTAGTTTTAAGAAACGAACTAAAGTGTGGTTCTAAAAAATTCTTTTCTGACGTGCTTAAATATATTACACTAGAATCAGTTTACAGGTGTTCATATCTCTTATTCTAAATCTCCGAAGTCCAAATCTATGGACAGGCATCACTTCCGGTGTAAATGACGTAGCATTTGGCATTGTCTTGTTATAGATAGCAAGCAATAACAAAACAAACAAAATAATAATTAGCATCTACCGTCAGGTATTGAGTCCACATTCGGGCATTTTCTTGATCGCATTAAAGTAATGGCTTGTGTCAGAAAGCTTGCTGAACAACCTTGAACTAGAGGTAATCTAGAATAATAACGTTATAAATATAAAAATCGTTTTACTTATCTTTATCGTCATATTTAATACAAAATTCTGAAGCCAAGTAAGCTTTTCGTCGGGCAATTTTTCGGTAAATTATTGTTATTGCAGCCAAAATATAATCGTATATAAACGGGTCTTTTTTAAAGCGGCCTTCAGCTTTTATTTTCTGTTGTGTTGTTTCAAACGAAATATTTTTGCAATTTTATCTGCAAAAAAAGCATATTATCACTGTTAAACCTTCTTTAAAACATCATCCCGAGAGCTGTTTATAACGCGTAAGTGACGTTCGTGTCTAAAAAAAGAAGATCGCCGCTACACTAATTTAATATAGAAAACGGACAATTAAGTAGATTAGACGTATCAAGGGGTTTTCTTATTGTTTATGTATTTTATCGTCCTAAGATTTCATTTTCCATCTTAATTCTTTTGTCTTTGATATGAAACGATTAATCTAAAAATACATATTTAATTCGTTAGAAAAGCTGAAGGCCGCTTTAACTGATACAAATACACGTTAAAAACATCATGTTCTTTTTGCTTTCGCGTGTTTCATTTTCATTGTCATAAAAATGATAATTGTTGGTAAAACTTCATGACATTATATAAGAACCATGTTCTTTGTTCGCCTTTATCAATAAATACTTTGTAAAAACTAGAGCTGTCACAGAAAGTGACAAATGCCCCCGAAGGATTCTACATGTATACTGAACCAAAAAAGAAACTTTCGCAAAGTATGTGCCAGTTGTTCAAGGGTACCACTTAGATGTACACACTTATCTACATGAAGTAGCTTATTAAACTCGTTTTGTTTGCAAAATCGGTCAGCTAATCCCCGCATAATAGCCCGATATGTTTATTCAACGTAAAAATCGAGTTTCAAAAGGATTGAAAAACTGTACTAACATATTTACATTCAAACTTCGAGAAAGTTTCTTTTTTGTTTCAGTATAGTTATAAACCACCTATTACATGCTATGTGTGGTGGTAAAAATTGACAAAGTTCGAACTCCTGCAGTTACCTTTAAGACAAAGAAACCTGGGTCTTGTTCACAACACATTGTCCATCTATGGTGATTTTATATTTTTTTAAATAAAAATTGAAACTTTCATGTATATGGAAGTTACAGAGCAGACACAACAACCACCATTTATATGTATATAACATTACTATTGAAAAAGTTTAAATCCCAGCAGTGACCGTGACCTAAGTCATAGAAACCAGTCTTGTTCGTGACACACCACACATCTATGGTTATTTCATATATGAAAGAAAAATTAAAATCCTTTCTTGCAAACTGAAGGTTCAGAGTGGAATTGACCACCATCATCTATATCTGTATAACATGTTTGAACCTCCACAGTGACCTTGACCTTAGGGGTAGAAACCCCAAGTCTTGTTCGTGGCACACCATAAATCTATGGTTATTCAATATATGAAAGAAAAATTAAAATCCTTTCATGCATACTGAAGGTTCAGAGTGGACAGGACCACCACCTTCTATATTTATATAACATAAAAAATACCAAAGTTTGAAACCCTACAGTGACCTTGAGCTTAGTTGTAGAAACCAAATTCTTGTTCAGGACACACCATACATCTATATTGTTACTTCATGTGTGAAAGAAAAATTCAAATCCTTTCATACATACTGAAGTTTCTGCCACCATATATATTTATATAACATAAAAAATGACAAAGTTTGAACCTCAACTGTAACCTTGACCTTAGTGGAAGAAACCCAATTCTTGTTCTCGACACACCATATATCTATTGTTAATTCATGTGTGAAAGACAAATTACAATCCTTTCATGTATACTGAAGTTTAAGAGCGGACACGACCACCACTGTCTATATGTATAAAGCGGGATGGACTGACGGACGGACAGACGGACGGTTCGATTTTAATATGCCAACTTTCGGGGGCATAAAAAACATAATTAATTTATTTACAATTCAACTTTTTTTACAAAGACCAGTCAAATGAAAAGAATGAGCATATATTTAGATAAAGTGGCGGTTTCAAACTTTGATTGTGAAAAAAAAAATATGACAGAAAACTATTTTACTATTTTGAGTAGCAATGAAACAAAAATAAAATATTCTTGCATTTTGAAAAACGTATGTATAAAATGCAATCTTTACCTGACTCGGAGATGTTTTACACCATGTCTTCATCTACTTGGCCATAAAAAACGGCGATAATCAAAATGCAACTAATATATCTTTTATACAAAATGCTTATAAAAATGAATACAAATTCTCACAGTTTAGACAACATAATAAAACTACATATATTACCTCACACCAAGTGTTGTTTGAATAAGTGTGCAAAGACCAGTTACAAAGAACGTGGTACCAAGCAATTCACTCACGGCCACTTTATCTTCACTCATACAAAACGATTCACTCAGTAGTAGTGGCACAGGAATTGATGAACCAAATACCAGAAGACAATTCTGTAATAAAAGACTTTTTAAGAGGTTCTGTTCAGTGTTATATAAACTTAATGAAGTTGACCAGCCCTAAGCACCGTGTAAGCTTATATTGCATAAAAACAATGAAAAGCAAAGTTTAGATGACGAACCAAGTTTGATTAAATTGTGTTCATGCAGATAAGAGCATGTAACTGAGTGTAAGAGAGTGTTCATGTAACTGGACATAGTGTGTTGATGTAAATGGACAGAGTGTGTTCATGTAAATGGAAAGAGTGTGTTCATGTAACTGAACAGACAGTGTTCACGTAACTGGACAGAGTGTGTTCATGTAACTAGACAGAGTATGTTCATGTAACTGGACAGAGTGTGTTCATGTAACTAGACATAGTATGTTCATGTAACTGGACAGAGTGTGTTGATGTAAATGGACAGAGTGTGTTCATGTAAATGGACAGAGTGTGTTCATGTAAATGGACAGAGTGTGTTCATGTCACTGGACAGATTGTGTTCATGTAACTGGACAGAGTGTGTTCATGTAACTGGACAGAGTGTGTTCATATAACTGGACAGAGTGTGTTCATGTAACTGGACAGAGTGTATTCATGTAACTGGACAGAGTGTATTCATGTAACTGGACAGAGTGTGTTCATGTAACTAGACAGAGTGTGTTCATGTAACTGGACAGAGTGTGTTCATGTAACTGGACAGAGTGTGTTCATGTAACTGGACAGAGTGTGTTCATGTAAATGGACAGAGTGTGTTCATGTAACTGGACAGACAGTGTTCATGTTACTGGACAGATTGTGTTCATGTAACTGGACAGAGTGTGTTCATGTAACTGGACAGAGTGTGTTCATATCACTGGACAGAGTGTGTTCATGTAACTGGACAGAGTGTATACATGAAACTGGACAGACTGTATTTATGTAACTGGACAGAGTGTGTTCATGTAACTAGTCAGAGTGTGTTCATGTAACTGGACAGAGTGTGTTCATGTAACTAGACATAGTGTGTTCATGTAAATGGACAGAGTGTGTTCATGTAACTGAACAGACAGTGTTCATGTTACTGGACAGATTTTGTTCATGTAACTGGACAGAGTGTGTTCATGTAACTAACTGGACAGAGGACTGTGTGTTCATATCACTGGACAGAGTGTGTTCATGTAACT